CCCTTGGAAATCAGCTCTGATGGTTTACAGGAGGATACTGAACACTTATGGACTCAAAGCCTCTTCTCCCCATAAAGTTTTCTTCTGCTCTTGTTTCTTTAAGGATCCCTAAGATACAGTTCATGCTTCTTTATACATTTCACAGCCCAAACGCCAAACTGCAACTGAAGCACTAAGTCAAATACAAATTCTGTCTGATGAATTGAGCCAGGTTCAATTGTGTTTTTACAGTGCAGTAGTTGCTGTGATACCCAGACAGTGTTGCACAACCTCCATTATTAAAGCCTATTGTACAGACCCCTTCACTTCAGGGAAGTGTGGGTTTAAAAGTCTCTCTAAATAGACTCTAAATTGTTAATTAAATGACAGGCCTACACAGAAAGTTAAAATTAGATTTGTTTTTTAAATAAATGGATTGTTCCAGACTAAGTCTCTGTCTGTGTGTCTGCATTTGTACAGAACTATACTATGTCATATTAAAATGAATAGTCCCAAACAGTGCAATTTAACAACAGTTGAGTATGCCCACTGCAGGATCCCTCTCTCTGTTGATATAGCAGGCATATGCAGGAATTGTCATGCTCCTTTTGAAATTTAAAATGTAAAATCAGTCTGTGAAAAACTGCTGTGCTTCTGTGCACTCCTTTTAGTGCTCGGTGTTGTGCCACGCTATTTTATCAAGATAGTTTATGATGTGGTATTGCAAGTATGTTTGAGCATCTGTGTTCTTGTTTGCACGTGTATTTGTTTTTTTCTGCAATAACTGATCTTGTGTATACCGAAAAAATTAACAAATGTTGTTGTTTTCCACACTTGCATTGTAATACCTCTGAAGATAAATGGCAAAGACAGACCAGCACATTAACTTTTACTTTTGCAACCAAAAAAGTAGACGCAGAGCATTTAATGTCAATTCTGACTGTTTTGGGGAAAAAAAGGACATTACATCTCTGGAAATGTCTCAGATCACTGCTGTTTCCTTTTCTGTATATGAAAATATATTGGTAATTGGCACATCAGCAAAAGAGAATCCTAGGCCAAACAGTGAATCTGTAAGGTAAGTTTTCATATTGGAAGAAAGGAAATCAGCCTCACAAAACAAAACAGAACAGTGCAGGTATTCTGCATTCTGCATGTTCAGTGCCCCTGTTCTGCATGTTTGTATCAAAAGGACAGGCCATAACATGAAGTTAATATGTGCCTGACACTGCAACAAGCACAAAGTGGAGTAGGCACAAACAGTGCAGTATCATGTTTACACAGTTACACTAGCAGAAGGCTAATATGTATGCCATTGCTGAAGAAAATCATGTGGAAAACTGCAGTTTCAATATGTGGGAGGCAAGAGTGTTCATTTCGGACACAGGTAATGAAAAAGAGCATTGTGTAAAACAAAAGTACAAAATCTCTGACAGGATGGAATTTATTACAACATCTGCATCTGAAAAAAATGGGTAACTGACATAGCCACAAACAAGGAACCACTTGTTTATATGATTTGGTCAGATTCTCTGATCTGAGATGACATCTGAAAAGATTAAGAGATAAAGAGTGTACTGCTTTATTGATTGTCTTTATTGACTACTGTTCCTCTCAGGCCCTGCCATAGTAGAAAAAGGAATAGACAAAAAGATATAGAAAAGCAAGAGGTAGGCTAGTAGCTGAGTAAGGTTTAAATTGTTTGCACAGTTAACATCAAGAGAAATATAAACACTATAAAAGTAATAATAGGTTTTTAATTTTTATCAAAAAGTTCATTCAAAATAATTTATGACTATCTATTGGAAACAAATGGATTTTATTTTAGAGCAGATGGAACTGCAGATCATGAGATTTTACAGATTGCAGCTTTATGAAGTCTTACGAGGAGTGTTGATTGTGAGTGTAAGCTTGCTGATGCAAAACACATAAAGTACATACACAAGCAGTGGTCATGTAAAGATGTTACGGTTATGACAAAACACCAAGCACAAAAAGGAGCAGACAAACACATTCACCTTGCAGGGCATGATACAGGCTGCCCTGCTGTAGGTTCAAATATATTTTCTATGGTGGTCCTGTAGATAAACAAGTCCACGCTGACATTAATATGCCAGAGGCCTTCATAGTGCAAAATCTCAAAATCTCTTCTTGGAGCAATTGGCATGTCAGTATGACACGCTAGTTGACCTCGGTTAGCACTGCCAAGAAACCTGGCCCTTGCCTTCATGCGACACTGTGAAGGGGAAGGAAACTGTGCTGTGTCATAGCGCCAAAGGCAACCCAGGCCAGTGTGTGCAGTACTCAGGCCTGCTCTGAGCACAGACATTTGGCACAGCAGTTCATGTTTTTGTAACCATTACTGCATGTTTTCTCACCATCTCATCATTGCATTCCTGCAGTAAAAAAACAAGATGCTTATTTGCATGCCAAATTTTAGCAGTTTTGTGTAGCGTTAGTCATGCTACACATTGGTCTTGCAGCTATTCCTGGTTCTTTATTTTTTCCCATTAGCTTCATTAAACACATCACAATATAATGTCCTTTACCCTCCCTTTCCTTTGAAATGCTTGATTTTTTTAAATGATGTTAAAGTTGTTGTCATTTCAGCTATCTAAACATAAGGATTTTAAATTAAAAGAAAAATATCTAAACTGGAAGATGAGGAGGTACCAAAGCAGAATTACCAGAAATACAACTCATTTCGGAATTGAAAGTGTGAGACATTCTGTAGGCACAGGGCTGTAGGTATGTGGAACACACTATAGTTTAATTGTGGGTGCTGTGTGACTGGGGGCTGTTGGTGTCTTTATGGGGTTCTGGGGCCACTGCATTACCAAACTCTTGGTGTATAAGACAGTGACACCATTAGCAGGTCTTGTATTTTGAAGTATACTGGACTATTGCAGAGATCTGATCCACAATTATCCTGTTATTCAATACCAGAAACTATGCAATTTATGAGCTTTGTCTTTTTTTCTAATAGACCTCCATAGAAAAACACAGTATCTGAGAGTGCTGTGAATTTGGCATGCGACAACATTCAATACTGCCATGAACTTTGGAACCTGCTGTTTTGTGGAAAGTAATCTCAGAACAGAAAGTGAACAATGAATAGCAAGGGGAAGAGACTGTGAAATCAGGAGGATTAAGCGAAAAGCTGGAGCAAGGGAAGAAGAGTAACAGCTGCAGTAGCTTAGCTCTGAAACGCTGAGCCTTGAGGTTGTCAGGGGGATGTGTGGGTCCCTCGACTTGTCAAATATTCCCATTGCTGTGGAATCAGGCAGTGTGTTGTAGGTGTAGAAAAGTTACAAACACTGGTGTTCTGCTATGATGTCCTGCACTTCCTCATCTCTCTCTGATCATGTACTAGACCAGAGACCCACCTCCTCCCTCCTTGCGCTGTTAAGAGCAGGGATCTAAGCTTTTACCCCCCAGTGACTCTGCAGCATTGGGTCACAGTTGGACCACAGGCGTTAGATCATAAGAACATAAGAAAGGTTACAAACATCTGGCTTATTTGGTAGTTAGTAGTTAATTGATCTAAAATTCTCATCTAGCTGTTTTTTTAAAGAAGTGAGGGGATCTGCTTCCACAACATGTACCTTGTTACTCCTATTAACCTTTGAATAAAGGAATGCCTCCTGTTCTTGGTTTGTGTTTCACATTGTATCTGATGTTGAGCCATGACAGTTCAGCAGTGTTGGGTCAGTACTATCAGTAGGCAAGGCAGAGCTCGTTCTGATGGTATAAGGGCACAACATAACCAGTCAAGTCTAGACAGCATGTGAGTTGGCAGGAAACAGAACTCCCCTATGAAGACATGGTTGGAGGAGCATGTGGAAGCCCACTCCATCGTACAGTGGCCCAGACATAACCAAACACACTTACTGCAGTGAGGCAGGACTGCTAACTGAGCCATCATGCTGCCCCTAACCTTTGTGTGTCTATCAGTTTGTAAATGGAAGACGTGTTGCAAAGTTCAGGATAATGCAGAAAGTTTAGGAATCTAAAGCATGCAAACACATGTATTTCAGGATCATCTAATCTACTCCTGTAATCGGAGTAATATTAGTCTGGAGTCACCTGGTATGAAGCCCAGAGAACTTTAAATTAATTCCCAAATATTTCCCACTTGTGGTGGCACAGTGGTAAGCATTGCTGCCTTGCACTGTGGGGGCACCTGGTGTGATTCTGGAACTGAGGTGCTGTCTGTGTGGAGTTTGTATGTTCTCCCTGTGTTCATGTGAGTTTCCTCCCCCAGTCCAACAACATACTGGTGGGTTAAAAGGCTTCTGGGAAGAAGTGTCCCTGGCATGAATGTGTGTGTCCTGTCTGAGGTGTACCATGTCCTGTGCCCCTTGCTTGCCAGGATACTGTGGCTCCTTTCCAACCCTGAATTGAAAGAAGCGTTTAGGAAATGGATGGAAGAATAAGTACCACTTCGAAAACTTCTGAAGTCTATTAAAATCAGCGAGAATGGACTGAACACTTGCTGATGCTAATAGCTGATTCTCTACCTTTTTCTGGAACTGGAATGACTACTATTGCGTGAAGCCGAAAATGAATAAAAAATGTGATAAAATTATAGTTGAAGGACGCAAAAGCCCCATGCCAACTAAACCAGCCAACGTCATAATGGGCTTTGTTGAAACAAAGTGTATTATCACGACAAAATGCGGACGCCTTTAATGAATGCGTTAGACTAGTTTTCACTGAGCAACAGCTGCCGCTTATTTTGCAAATGAAATTGTGAATCTATCTGGAGGTTGTGTTTTCAATAGTCATTGTGATCATTGGAAGGTCTAAGAGAGGCTGCAGTGTACTGTTTCTGATGTTTCATAACATAAAACTAACGTACGTACCTATTACACCATGCAGGGTGCACTGTTAAAATAGTGATGTAAACGTGTATAGCACGGTCTTTCCCATGTTTCAACACTACGAGTCGCATAAGGAAATAAAACTGAAACCTGGTTACTATCGCATAAAAATAATATGGCACAGTCATACGATTTATTTACATGTTCAATAGCCCCTGCTAGTTCTGAGCTGGCAGGAGTGATGTAGGCAGTTACAGATAAAATTATTCGTGTAAAGTGTGCTTAAAGGAGGAGCCGGATTCGCGAGGAGTTTTTTAAAGTGTTACTATCATTTACCACGCAGTTCCCTCCCAGCACAAGTGGGAGTGTGCGATAGAAATAAAGTGCGAGAGGTAAGGTAGGCAGGCCAATTATCCCAAAGCAATTTAGAGGAGGTAAGCTCGTATCGAGTCCGCTCTGCTTTTTATTTAACGGGAACAACGTGAGGCTTTCTGAACTGTGCAGCTACAACAGACCTGCAGTTTTCGGGTAGGAGGGATGGGGGAAGAGACGGGGAGAATTAATGACCTATTAGTTTACATGCCTCGTTTCTTTAAAAAGGGAATAGTTTAGGGGGGAGAAGCTAGAGCTAGGGGACTTTTAATCACATGTTAGGGTGAGTGTTTAAATTTTAAGTGTCACTATCGCTTTTCCTCGTTTCAGTCTGTCCTTATCCGGAGTCCAAAGGTCTGTTTCTGTACTTCGGTGTTTTTTTTTTAACTTGCCACTACGGGTGGTTGTCCAGCTCTTCGTTTTAAAGCGAATTTTTGGAGTTTACGAATTTATTTTTTCCATTAAGTGTTATCTGTTGCACTATAATGTTGGCACGGAGGAGCGTGCGGTCAGTTTTCCAGTGTGGAGCTGAGCGAGGGTTTGGGGGCTCAGTGGCCGATTTGGTGCGCTCTGAGCCGGTTGTACCCACAAAGCTGAGCTCCTCTCTCCTGCTCTCACCCTTCTACCTCCATAGGAATTTTTGCGCGTTGTCTGCGGTTAGGTGCGGGATAACTGAAAAGAAGATGACTGAGAACTGCGTGACGCCTCACCGTGGGAAGGTGCTTACCATGGACACTATGAACCCCAATATCAAGAGAGTGGAGTACGCCGTGAGGGGTCCCATTGTGCAGCGCGCCGTGGAACTAGAGAGAGAGCTGCGGGAGGTACCACACGCCAAATTTAATTTAATATTAATACATTTATAAATGTATTGTTTAATTTAAATTATTTTCATCTCAGTAACTTTGTGCATTTTGGTAAATCACTGGTCTGTTACAGATAGCAGCCGAAGTGCAGATGAAGTACTTCTGTTTAATGTACCCAGTCCATCATTTGGTCTGTGTGCATGTGTGAGTGGATACCATGCATTCTAAATCTGTTCAGAGCCACATGTCCATTAGCAAAAAAAAAAGGTATAAACTATTAGATGCATAATAAATCTGACAGTGAATTTGATGGGTGAGATCTGTTTTACCAAGGTCTTGGCTATTTTATGTCATTTGTGGTATCCACAAGGAACAGGTATTTATGCTTCAGATAGTGACCAGTTTAACCAGGAAGGGAGTTTGGGTAGCCAAGTGTCCGAGTGTCCTTTCCCCCTACTGACCCACAGTGTCAGTTGGTTGCTAAGAGCTCATTGACTTGAAGATCTTGTGTAGCTTTCTTTCTAAATAAACCAGGCTGTCACAACATGGCTTGGAAATGTGTTTTAGACAGCTACACTACTTTGTGCAAAGTGTCTCTTATCATTTCTAAACACTTGTTCTCTGATTATGTTTCACTGTATATTCTGAAGAAGTCTCTTGGGTTGACTGTTAGTACCTTTTAGACTTTTGACCATTTGAATCAATTACAAAATTGTAGAATGTGGTGACCATCTTCTTTACTGTATACTAGATTAGGAAGGACACAACATGGATAATTTTAATATCCTTTGATTTATATTCTCTGCCTTTTACTATATATCTTAACATATTTCTTTGGTTTCCACACATTGTATAGAAAAAACAAATGTCAGCATGAGGCCGCTTCAAACTCGGAGCCTCCTATAAAATTTTTTTTTTCCACATGCATGTAACGACCTGCGCTTGTCCATGTTAAGTGCCATCAGCCAGGTGTTTGCCCATTCTTGAATTTTGTCTACATTTGTATGGATTTTATTTGTGGTTTCTACAGCGTTTGCTACTTTGTATCCTTAGTAGGGTTATCAGGGTCACACAGTCAGAATGCAGATCCTAAAGAAATTAGGAGCAAAAGATACTGATTCAGATCCCTGTGGTTCACCAAAATCTGGAGAATGCTCCCATTATCTATACTCCCTCTAGTAAAATTAAATTAGGGTTTATTTTAACCCCAGAAGTTGAACTTTAACTGGGGACAGAAGCTGTACTTGAAGTAACCCTGAACTTCAAGGGGTTACTTTTAGATACTTCACATTCATTCTTACTGGTATTTAATGGTTTCTTTTAATAGTGAAATGAGTTGAATGTGTTTGCAAATAGGATGTCGCCAAAAAGCTCACTGTCTGCTTTGCTAGACTGCGTTATGGCAACCCTCTAAGGTTAAAACCGTTGCAGAGAATGACTAGATGGATGAAGTTAAACACAATTTCCTTTGAAATTAATATGAAATCCACTTTGTCACAAGGGACACTCAGATGACCTGTTCCCTATGAATTGTACATACATTGTAAGGTTTTACCAGTTGGGTAAGAAAGCCAAATCAGGATGGATGATAGCTTTTTAAAGGGGTTATTTTAAGAGATTGCTACCTTGCTACCGAGGTAATATTTACTACCAAGATCTGATTTTTGTCAGACCCTGAAAGCAAAGAGAGGGTAGGCCTGATCAGCACAGGGAAGGGAGACCTCAAAGGAAAGCTGGTGGTGGACCAGAAGGTGGCACTTTATCCTCTGGAACAGCCTCTGCCAAATTCACAGTCTTGTGTGGTGAACGAAGACACGGTGATATAGGAAGTGCAATTCTTTTTTGATTTTTAGCCTGAAGTTCTGATTAGTTATTAAAGATTCCATAATAAGACCAGAGAAGTCCATAAAAGAGAATGATTTTTCATTTAACACTGATGAACCGGAGAGTACCCATTAATACAGCATTTTATTTTACGGGAGCAGTCTCGGTGAAGGAGCCCAAAACTTGGGTACAAGAGTAGTACCTATGTGGGATAGAATTCACAGCCTTGCTGTTAAAAATCCAGTGTCCCACCTAATACTCTGTACCGCTTTAAGCTTCTGTAAGGATGGACCGTTAATGATTTTTTTAAGGGAGCGTGGATTGACAAGGGAACAGCTTTTCCTTTTGTTTTTGTGTCCTATAATGTCACTTCAGGCTGTTTCAGAACTTGCCTAACTGGTTGTGCTACATTATATAATGAGTCTGAAAACAGGACAGTGGGAGAGTTGTCTCATGTCTCGCTGTTGAATACTTTATGTTCACTGAAATGACCTACTAAAAGAAAGTTAAGAATCTCAGAAATATCTTTCATTACAAGGATAGATGGTAGAACAATGAGCAGTTTCAAGATTATGTTGCAATTACAGGGCCAATATTACTGTAGAAACATTAGATCAATTTTCTTTCATGTGGGGGGGAAACTCTTTCTGCTTTTTTAACTGTATTTAGATCTACAGTATAATACAATAAGAAGACTTGTATGCAGTGGGCTGTGAGCTCTTACCCAAACTGAAGGTCAGATGCTCTGGGTCTTATCGTTGTGTATACAGTAACCTAATGATGTTGTTGTCATACTGATGAAAGTTTAAGCTCCTGACCAACTCTGTTCACTTAGGTTAGGATTGACTAGGGGTGATTCCGTGGCAATCGTCTGAAGCATAAAGTGAGCCCTGACCTCTGAGACTAAGATGGGAGTGTCAAATGCACAGCAAGTTCCCAGGATGTATTATACCCACAGGGACAGAGAAGTGTCACCAATACCTATAACACTCTCTGTCTCCGACTTCTCTTCTGCTCCCAGTTTGCTCATATTCCTGCTACAGTATCTTGTGTATGTAATCCTTGCAAGTTCCCTGTCCCACCTTAGTCACCATTTAATCTACTGCAGGGAGGTACAGGGTAAAAGGCATGGCTTTAACCCAGGACTTTATGATTCCCTGCAGGTGATTGGGAAGTGTGCTGAGACAGCCAAGGGCACACAAGGCTCTCTCTTTGTGAACATGAGAAGAGACTCCTGCCTTTATTCTCTCCTCTTCCTTTACTCACTTACCTCCATCTCTCACACACACCCCGCTGGTGGCACGTATAAATCCAATTTATGCCTTAAATTCAGTTTATCTTTTAGTTTAAATACTGTTTGCTAGATACATAGATAAACAGAATTTTAAGCAATAACACAGTGCATCAAGGGCAGTAATTAAAAGGCTACTACTTGGGATTAGATAGCGCTGGATTCAGTGTAAATGAAATAAAATGCAAGAAGCTTGATAATGTGGTTTGCACAGTGCTGACTGCATTGTGATCAGATAATTGCAATCTGATGATGGCTATCGCTCTGGCAATGACTGCAGATCACCAGACCACTGTGGCTGCCTGTGATCAGAGCAAAACAAGGCCCCCATCTTGTCCCCACCCCTGTCTTTCACCTCCTTCCTTTGCATCTTACCTCGGTCAGCCCTCATTTTTTCTGTGTGCGTGTTGAAAACTGGAATAACAAGGACTTTTACATTCTTTCTCCTCCTCTTCTGAAACACAAGAGGAAGTTTTCTGAAATATCAAGCTGTGAACTTCTGGAATGTTTTATGTCAAGGAAATGAGGGGTGTAATTCCCGGATCTCTAAATAACATGTTTCAACAAGCTCAGAGTGGGAAAAGCACCTACTGTTTGGAGACCTGCAGATGTAACCCCACTTTATAAAAAGGGGAAACGATAGACCTGATCATAGCACTTCCTGACCTATATAAACAATTTAGATTGATTAGTGGCAAACGAGTTAAATATGTAGATAATGCAATAAGTGAACTGGAAAAAAGAAAAAGCAGCTGATGGAGGGCAAATTAAATTTAACATTGATAAGTACTGAGTAATCTGCGTGGAGCTTGTGCATGCTCCCTGTGTTTGTGTGGGTTTTCTCTGGGTGCTCTAGCTTCTTCAGTCCAAAGACATACTGGTATGTCAATTGGCTTCCGGGACAATTAGCCCTGATGTGCGTGTGTGTGTGTGCCCTGTGATGGACTGGCGTTGTCCAGGGTGTATCCTGCTTTACCCCTGTTGCTTGCTGGGATAGGCTCCAGCCCCCCCACGACCCTGAATTGGATGAATCACATATTGAATTGGTGAATGGATTGAAGTGGAGTGATCTTCACTGTGAGTAATAATAATAATTGCTTACACTTATATAGCGCTTTTCTGGACACTCCACTCAAAACACTTTTACAGGTAATGGGGACTCCCCTCCACCACCAACAATGTGCAGCCCCACCTGGATGATGTGAAAGTTTTTTTAAATGGTTTGTACTTTTGTGGTCAGTGCACCACAAAAAAAAACAATAGAGTATGTTGTTAGAAATAAAAAGCAACAGGAATGATTAATGGTCTTGGGGTAACTACCAAGAATTGTTATAAATGGACAAAGTTAAGGTAGATGCGTGTTTAAAGGCTGTTTCAAAGGAGATTGAGAGGAGATTTGCTTAAAGTACCCAAGATGTCTTTGTTTTTAAGAGTTGTAGAATGTAGAACAGGCATCATTGTGCAGATATTTTGTACAACACTTCCCTAATATGGTTTACCAATTCTGAGACTTATTATATAATAAATAAGCTAGCAGATCTGCTTGTGCCTGGTTCCAGTTTGATTCTTACGTGCTGCTCTTTTCTCACATTTTCTCATGTAAGCCTTAGTGCATGTTTAACTGACTTTTTGGAATTGCCGTTAACTTTTAGTTCCATCTGTTTTCAAAATCTGCAGAGGACATTTTAAACTGTAGTAATGCTTACAAAAATGAACTGTCTACTTTTGTGACCGTGGTTTATTTTTTAGTAATGAGAGAATGCCCATTCCATTTGTTTGCAAAGTAGAATTTGTTGTTTAATAAACACCGAGTTATGTTATTAAAACAGTGTTGACTCACCACACTGGTTCAAACCCTATTTGTAGTTTATTATCTGATTGTAATTCTTTGCCCAGCTGGAAA